GAGGTGACTGGTATTTCCCTTGACGAGAGACTCACTCTGTGCACCAGGAAATCCTCAGTCTCTTTAATCATCTGTTGCAGAGCCATCATTCATAAATGGATCAAACCCTTCCGGAAAGTTTTTGTCTCCCCATCTACTCCATCGAGGAAAGACCATGAGCAGTGACTAGCGCCCAGCCTGCCTCACCATCACTCCTTAACTGGTTCCATTTCTGACTCCCCTTCTCCTCCCACCCACAGGCCGAGTGTGTGGGTGTGTGGCGGGAATCAGCTTGCACACAGCAGTGCTCGATGCATATGAGCAAGAGAATCTCTGCAACAGCCGAGAGGCAACAGCGTCAACGGGAGAGGGCATAAACTCTGAGCAGCCCACAGCTGTGCCACCCAGCAGCAAGAGCACTGAGGCAAGTCATTGCCCTCCCTGCCCTCGACTGCAAATGGGGACAGTAAAAGCATTCACTTTTAGGGTAATCGTGAGGCTTGAACGAGTCACCACGTGTAAAACAAAACAGTGACTGGCAAGAGCTATGTTCTCAATTAGCATTAGCTTTTATAATTTTTAAAGCAACATAAAAAAAAAAGGCCTGGCAATGGAATGACACTGTCATTTATAAAGCACAGTCAGATTTTATTACTGAAAAAGACAGTCCATTAAGCCCTCTGAACAAGGTATCATAATGATCCCATTTTGTAGAAACTGATTTGGAAGTTTAGTGATTAGCCCAAGATCTCACAGGTGGTGGGCCATAAATACAAGTCACCAAGCCTTGTTGTAATGAGCCACATGAATTCCAGAAAAAACAAAGGTCAGGAATATCTTTTTTTTTTTTTTTTGAGACAGAGTCTCACTCTGTTGTCCAGAGTAGAGTGCCGTGGCGTCAGCCTAGCTCACAGCAACCTCAAACTCCTGGGCTCGAGCAATCCTACTGCCTCAGCCTCCCGAGTAGCTGGGACTACAGACATGCGCCACCATGCCCGGCTAATTTTTTCTATATATTTTTAGTTGTCCGATTAATTTCTTTCTATTTTTAGTAGAGACGGGGTCTTGCTCTTGCTCAGGCTGGTCTTGAACTCCTGACCTCGAGCAATCCACCCGTCTCGGCCTCCCAGAGTGCTAGGATTACAGGCGTGAGCCACCGCGCCCGGACTAGGAATGTCTTTTACATTTGTTTTCCTGAAAGCCAGCCCATTTTGTTAGTGGTCTCCTAGATCACCCCACTAACCACCATTCAGGTGCCTCCTGGTCAGAAACATAGGAAGGGGCCTGCTGAGCAGCCTCATCCAAGGCCAGAGCTGGGGCTGGTGACAAGCAGGAAGGTGGTCAGGCAAGGGGGATGGCCAGGCTGCCTGCTCATAGACACATACAGGAGGCTGGGCATGGTGGCTCATGCCTGTGATCCCAGCACTTTGGAAGGCCCAGGTGGGAGGATTGCTTGAGCCCAGGAGTTTGAGACTAGCCTGGTCAAGAAAGCAAGAGCCTGTCTCTTCAAAAAGATTAAAAAGAAAATCAGCCAGGCATGGTGGCACACCTGTAGTCCTAGCTACAGGGGAGAATGAAGCAGGAGGATCACTTGAGCCCAGGAATTCAAGGTTACAGTGAGCTATGATCACGCCATTGCACTCCAGCCCAGGCAACGGAGCAAGACCCTATCTCAAAAAAAAAAAAAACAAAAAATGGGGAGACTGTCATATACTTAAGAGATTTAAAACTTAAGTGGAAGCCAGGCGTGGTGGCTCACGCCTGTAACCCTAGCACTCTGGGAGGCCGAGGCAGGAGGATCACTCAAGGTCAGGAGTTCGAGACCAGCCTGAGCAAGAGCGAGACCCCATCTCTACTAAAAATAGAAAGAAATTAGCCGGGCCGGGCGCAGTGGCTCACGCCTGTAATCCTAGCTATCTGGGAGGCCGAGGCGGGCGGATTGTTTGAGCTCAGGAGTTGGAAACCAGCCTGAGCAAGAGCGAGACTCCGTCTCTACTAAAAATTAGAAAGAAATTAATTGGACAACTAAAAATACATAGAAAAAATTAGCTGGGCACGGTGGCGCATGCCTGCAGTCCCAGCCACTCAGGAGGCTGAGGGAGGAGGATCGCTTGCACCCAGGAGTTTCAGGTTGCTGTGAGCTAGGCTGACGCCATGGCACTCTAGCCCGCGCAACAGAGTAAGACTCTGTCTCAAAAAAAAAAAAAGTTAAGTGGAATGTGTGGATCTTATTTTGATCCTGATTCAAACAAGTCAACAGTTAAAAACAAAAACACATCTTTGAGACAAATGGAAAAATTTGAATATGAACTGGTATCCGGGGTTTTATGAAATTACTGTTCATCTGTGATATAGTGGTTATGAAAAAAAAAAGGTCTACCAACGCACACAAATATGCCCAACTGATTTTTTTTTTTTTGAGACAGAGTCTCACTCTGTTGTCCAGAGTAGAGTGCCGTGGCGTCAGCCTAGCTCACAGCAACCTCAAACTCCTGGGCTCGAGCAATCCTACTGCCTCAGCCTCCCGAGTAGCTCGGACTACAGACATGTGCCACCATGCCCGGCTAATTTTTTCTATATAGATTTTTAGTTGTCCAAATAATTTCTATTTTTAGTAGAGACGGGGTCTTGCTCTTGCTCAGGCTGGTCTTGAACTCCTGACCTCGAGCAATCCTCCCGCCTCGGCCTCCCAGAGTGCTAGGATTACAGGCGTGAGCCAGTGCGCCCGGCCCTGCCCAACTGATTTTTGACAAAGGTACAAGAATAATTCAATGGAGGAAGAGTGTCTTTTCAACAAATGGTGCAGGGTCAATCAGACACCCACAGGCAAAACAATGAACTTGACCTAAACCTCATGCCTTACATAAAAATTAACTCAAAACAGATCAAGGACTAACATGTAAAACATAAATCTATACAAATTTTAGGAAAAAAATATGGAAGAAAATCTTCAGGATCTAGGACTTGGTGATGTTTTTAGATTCAATACCAAAAACACAATCTATAAAAGGCAAAATTGATAAATTGGACTTCATTAAAATTAAAAACTTTTGCTCCACAAAAGAATCTGTGAAAAGGATGAAAAGACAAGCTACCCAGTTGGAGAAAGTATTTGCAAGCCACATATCCAACAAAGTTCTTACATCTAAAATATATAAAAAAATCTGGAACAATCCAATTAGACAATGGGCAAAAGACAAACATTTCACCAAAGAGGATATTCAGGCAACAAATAAGCACATGAATAGATGTTCAACATCACACTAGCTGATAGATAAATGCAAATTAAGAAAACAATACGAGGGCCACTGCAATGGCTCACATCTGTAGTCCTAGCTACTGGGGAGGCTAAGGCAGCAAGATGGCTTGAGCCCAGGAGTTCTAGCGAGCTATGGTCATGCCACTGGACTCCCGCCTGGGCAACAGAGTGAGACCTTGTCTCTAAAAAAACAAATTAAAAAAAAAAACCACCAACAAGAAAATAAGATATTACTACACACCTGTCTAAAATAAAAAATGGTAACACCAAATACTGGTGAGGACGTAGAGAAACTGGATCACTCATACCTTGCTAGTGGGAATGAAAAATGGTACAGCCACTCTGGAAAATACTTTATCAGTTTCTTATAAAATTAAACATGCAGTTACCATACGACCCAGTAATGGCATTCTTAGACATTTATTGCAGAGAAATGAAAAGGTTATGTTTACACAAAAACCTGTACACAAGTGTTCACAGCTTCATTGATAACAGCCCCAAACTGGAAACAGCCCAGATGCCCCTCAATATTGTGAGTGGTTAAACAAACTGTGTTAAACTGTGGTATGTCCATACCATGGACTGTTACTTAGCAATAAAAAGAAACAAACTATTGATCCAACAATGTAGATGGATCAAATTATGCAGAGTGTAACCCTCAAAGGGTTACATACTCTATGATTCCATTTATATGACATTCTTTAAATAAAATTATAGCGATGAAGAACAGAGTAGTGGTCTCCAGGAGTTAAGAACAGGGAAGAGACGTAGCTCAGCAGCACTGGGAATTTCGAGTAGTAGTGGAACTCAGGAGGCTAGTGGATGGCAGACTCCCAGCATCCTCAGGAGCGACCATGGACTCCTTGGCCAAGCCTCGATGGCCTCTGGGCCTGGCAGTCATGAAGACAATAGAAGATTTGCTGCAGTAAGGAATTTGCTTCAAATATTTCAACATTGCAATGATAATCCCTCAGTGTTCACATAACTAGTGTTCTCTCTGTATAAGAAAATTTCTATCCTATAAAGCTCAACGTCCAATTTGTTACATGCCAGTCACAGAGCTGGACCTGAAAAATAACCACACATTAGATGAACTGGTAAAAAGCTTGAATTTTGCACGCTGCTGAAATAGTTCGAGAAATTGAAAATGTGGAGAAGACCAGAATATGTCTTAAAGTTAGTAAAGGCAATGAAACTGTAATAGTTTTTACTAAGGAACAAACAGAAAAGGAAATAGATGAAATTCGCAGTAAATATTGTAAAAAACATCAGAATGAATTTCAGCTTCTGGTGGATCGGGCCAAAAAAGAATACAAGAAAACTGTTGGAATGTCACAAAAAACAGTAATAACAAAACAGGAAGATGAATCTACAGAAAAGCTAGTATCTGTATGCATGGGAAAGGAAGATAATAAAATGAAGTTCTCAGATATGACCTCAGTAACAAACTACTTCCCTAAATCAAAGCTAGGCTCCTCAGGGAAACTGGAGTCTGACAGACCAGATGATTCTTCCAGTTGGACTGATATTCAAGAAGCGCTTTCTTCACCAGAATCAGATTCATGCAATAGAAATGATCTTCAAGACACAGAAATGAGCCCAAGATGGAATCGCCACACAAGAGCAGCTGGAAATGCTGAGATTGAACCAGGAAATAAGCATAATAGGAATTAGTGTGAGCTTTTGAACACAAATTAAGTTCAAAGCTTATAGTTCTATTTATTTGCAGTTTTTATTGTGAACTTTTATTACGAGCTTTTCATAAGTCACATTTTTAATCCGTCTCTACTACTTTTTCCAAGAACTCCCCCAAAGCTATAAAAAATAGAAATTTATAAATACACATTGAGAATTATGCAGTTTTTACACAACAATGGCAGGTCAGTGTTTCAAGTTGTCTAACCCTCTCCCAGTGTCTCCCATCCACAACTGGCAGGAGCACAGCCTCTGAAATCTCAGCAGCAGAAATGGCAACCCTTTTCCAAATCCTGCAGCACAAGGGCCTCCAACAGGTGCTGGTGTGGGATAATAGCGAGCGAGGACCTGCGGAAACACTGACTGGGATGACCGCTCGCAAGAGCAATGAGAACAGCAAACTGGGTTCAGCCATGGCTTGAACCTGGGACTGTATTTAAACTCGCCAGGCCAAGAACTGCCAAGAGCTGAATCACAAACTCCGAAGGGTTGGCACAGACTCAGTCTAATTTGGGGAATCCAATTTTCTCATTTTTGTCCCCTCTTTAGTTCCCAGAAAAACAGCTCTTTCCTTCAGGGCAAAGGGACAGAGTGTCCCAGAGAACAGTGATGCCAGGGGGACATAGAGTCTGCTGGCAAGTCCCCAAGTTTCTTGAGTTTTCAAATTCATCAAGAGAACAGACAATTAAGAGATGACTCTAGTTAAATATGGAGCTTAGGGTTCTAACCCAGGAAACAGCGTGTTTATCCAGTGGTAACTTCCAGGTGTTTACGGGCATTTTTCTTCCTTCCGAGATCAAAGGGTATCAGCCTGCCCAGCATCTTTCTTAAAAACTTCTTTTCTGGTTTGTTGAGTACATCCAGTATGAAGTCTTCCTTCTCCAAGAGGCAAAGAGGTTGAGCAGATTCAGATCTGCTTCCTGGAGAACACCTCAGCTTAGACTGCAGGCTCCTCTCAGCCCGCTTCCACCGCTAGGTGGGAACGTGGCCTTCCGTCCACACCAGCCTTCCGGCAGACCAGCGAAATTTCTCAGCTTTCAGAAGACAAGGCCAAGCCTAGCCCTCAGATTCCCACCCCACCAAATCCTTTTCCTACAACTTAAACATTTATGGCTCCTCTATCAAGTCACCGCATAACACAGTCAACGCTCCAGGCTCTTGTCAGAGAAGACCTCTTTTCCCAGGAGGGGCAGGACGTGGTAGTTCCCAAAGCACACACTCCACAGAGGGACGATAAATGACTGACCACAGAGGGGGAGAGAGAGCACTGCCCCACATCAAACGCTGACCAGAGGATCAGGGCCGCTCTGGCATGTCATTGTCCTCCACGTTGTGAGAATGTGATGAGCTCGCAACTCCTGCCAGCCCTAGAACACAGCTGTGACGTGTGGGCCTCCTGTTGCCAACGTGTCGAGGGAGCGCAAAGTCGCTTTCCGTCAGCTCAGCAGGGCACTTGGAGCCCAAGTGAGGAGAGAAGAAAGAATGAGGTCCTGTCATGACAAATCAGTGCCATAAACTGTCTGTGAGTCAACAAAAGGGATCCAGAAATCCTGAAACACACCCTGGGCAAGCAGTCTTCTTGGTATTACAGCAAGCAAAGCAGCAAAGAACCCTTTTTTCCTGCCATGTTCCCTGGTCTTCTGGGCTTCAAAGCAATCAAGTCCTATGACAGCAAATGAAGTCCCCGGGTGCTGCTACGCCCACAGTACTACGTCCTCGCTGATTAAGAAGCCTCATTATTACCATATCTTCCTCAACCCAAACATCCAGTGAAAACAGGTCATCTTAACACAAGGTTTGCTACTAAAATCATGTCCAATCACATCCGCAGCCTTGGCTCAGCCACAAAGAGGTCACTCTCTCTTCTTCCCTCCAGTGGCTTTAACTCCCCAGGTGGGTGGTGTCCAGGCCCGTGGACGAGCCAGGCTTCCTCCTCAGCTCACGAGAGGGACCTAGAAAGAAAAGGAACCATGGAGCTTGCCTGGTGGGGCCCGTCTGCCCTCCTAGGGGAGGACAGCTCCAGGGCTTGAGGGTTGGTGCCTGGGCTGCAGGACACTCGACCACCAAGGAACGAGAGGCACACACGGGAGCCGACTAAGCAGAGGAGAAGGGAAAATATTTCCTCTCACCACAGCAGTCTGCCCCAGGCTCAAGCCCACCGGCGAGCCCCTCTTTCCCACCAGGGAGCAGAGACCACCTCGGTAGGCCAGACGAGACTCTGGACCTCAGCCTCCAACTCACTTCTTCCTGCGGATCTTGGGCTTCTTCACAGGTCGCAGATAGGGGTTATCAATGATGTTCTCCTCCCCATTCCGGCTTCCCGACAAGGAGGGGTTCTGCTGCAGGACAGAAGTGTTCTCCTTCTCGGCTCCGGAGTCGTCCTTTGAGCAAAAGCCAAAATAAAGCACAACACCAATGGCATAAGGAAAGAAATCGTGCCCATAGTTAGAACTGCTATTAGCATCCCTTTCATTGGGAAATTCCTTCCAATGTTCCCGTCTCTGCCCCAGACAAAATAAGGCCCAGGCAGGGGCTGGCTATAAGGGGAAGGCGAAACTAACATCCTTGACGCAGGGGGCACACAACAGTCTTGAATCTCCTGAAGGCAGGGATGTGAGTTAGAAAGAGCAGGGGCCCGGGAGGGGCAGGTAGTTGGGGGCTAAAATTTAGACACTTCAGGGAGAAGCCCAGCCTGGTGGGGAGAGAAAGAAAAAGGGAAGGACTCTAGATGCCTTGCGGGGCCGAGAGACACAGGCCGGGACAAATATTCGCATAGGGTATCTCCCGGACCAAAGCTAGCAAAAATCGGATTTCCCCCAAACTCTCAAATTTCTGGTACTTGCAACTTGCTACCAATGATCATATCCCAGCACAGGCCAGAAACCTCTTGAGCCCTGAGGGTTCCCTGCGAGGGAAAGCAGAGCCTGCAGGTCTCAGCACATGCACGTCATTGAGAACGCCTGTCTGCGCCCTGTCAATCAGGTTTTTTACTGTTTGCTTTTTTGAGGAAACTGTGATTTTTAGAGAAAAGGTTATAAGTTCACATATATTCAATATAATCTCAATTAAAATTTTTAAAAAATCACAACTGTGTTTAGACAGAAAAAAGGTAACATGCTAAAATTTTAAAAACTGTTCTGGGAATACAGGTGATTCATTCTTCTTCCCTTATTTATACTCTCCTCTATTTTCCATGTTCTTTAATTTTTTTTAAGGGGTGGAGAGTCATAAGGAGGAGTGCTCAGTTGCCTTGTTTGTCTTGAGACAGAGTCTCACTCTGCTGCCCTGGGTAGGGTGCAGTGGCGTCACTGTGGCTCACAGCAACCTCCAACTCCTGGGCTCATGCGATCCTCCTGCCTCGGCCTGCCAGGTAGCTGGGACTACAGGCACGCGCCACAACGCCTGGCTGGTTTTTATTTCCTTTCTTCTTTTTTTGGTGGAGACGGGGTCTCGCTCTTGCTCAGGCTGGTCTTGAACTCCTGAACTCTAGCAATCCTCCCACCTCGGCCTCCCAGAGTGCTAGGATTACAGGCGTGAGCCACCGCACCCGGCCTATTTTCCATGTTCTTTCAAATGAACAGAGGCTGCAGGGAAAGGGGGAGAAAATCACACCGAAAACTTGATCCAGAAGCTCAGGTCTAGTGAGCAGAAGCTGATCGGGCTGCGCCCCCTGGTGACGGGCCGAGGGTTCCATCGGGGAACAAGTCACAGAGACTCCTGTCCTGCAACCTGAGGTAAAAGCGGCCGTCACTGACTTCAACCGGGAGAGGCTGCAGTGGAGACAGCACAGCAGAGGACGCTGCGATCGATCGATCAGATGGCACTAGGTGAACAGCAGGTTCCCCCCGTGAGGGACAGGGGGCCTAGGGCACAGACACTGATCTCAGGCTTCGAGAGCCTGAAGAAACTGCATCACGTCTCGGTTCCACTGCAAGCCCTCTCGCTGTCCTGTCAGCTCTGCTCTCCCCAAAGCCCCGGTTCCATCTGGGGCCTGTGTGCTTTCCCTCTGCAACACCAACCCAGTGGGACCACTAGGTGACCTCGAGCCACTTGGGACCTTCCGGAGACTCTATTGAAAGCGAGCACCCCAAGACCAGCCTAGCTCATGCCAGACCAGGTCCCCGGCAAACGTCTGCCCACAACCAGACCTACCGTGGACGTGTGGCTCCCAACCTTTCTGAAGTTCTTACTGGCTTGACTGAGTAACATCTTCCCCCTGCTCCTTTCTGTCATTTCTCTACGGTAAACATCCTGTCTTCAAAGTGACTGGACGTTCACTTCGACCATGCCTTAAGTGTTTTCTGAGATAATACAGACAGAGCTGACACTGTCAGAGGAGAAAGCCAGCCCTGGGACACTGCTGGAAGGTGCAGAGGCTCCCTCCGTTGGGCTCACTATGGCTCACAAGAGCAAGAGGACAGGCCTCTCTCCTCCCAAGTAGAGCTTATGGAAATGCCACTTTCTTACCCCCTTCAGGGACTGACAGCCTTGAAACGGGCAGGGGTACAGGGAGCAGGTAAGAGTAAACTGACCCAGAGATTTGTAAAAAAGGCAGGAGCAGAATCACCTGTCAGAATCCTTGAATTGCCTGTGAGCTCTAGCAAACCCCACACCCCTGGGCGACCGAATCCCAGTGTTCAATGCTATTTGCATGCCAACAACGCCCACAAGGACATCTGCAGCCCTCTCCACTCTCCCAACCTCCAGCTCATACAGCCAACTGCTCACTTGGCAGCTCCACCTGGGTGTCAGGTAGGCATCTAAAATTTATCTAAAACTGAACGGGGGCCCGGGCCCAGGGGCTCATACCTGCAATCCCAGTACTTTAGAAGGCTGTGGGGGGATCACTTGAGGCCAGGAATTTGAGACCAGCCTGAGCAACATAGCAAGACAGGGGAAGGGGACGGGGATGGGGAAGTGGGGGAAGGGGAAGAAGGGGAAGAGGGGAAAGAAGGGGAAGAGGGGAAAGAAGGGGAAGAAAGGAAAGGGGAGGAAGGGGAAGAAGAGGAAGAAGGGGAGGAAGGGGAAGAAGGGGAAGAAGGGGAAGAAGGGAAAGGGGAAGAAGGGGAAGAAGGGGAAGAAGGGGAAGAAGGGGAAGAAGGGAAAGAAGGGAAAGAAGGGAAAGAAGGGGAAGAAGGGGAAGAAGGG